CACTCCACACGTACATACGCCACACACACACAAACATACGTAAACACACACACTCTCTCCCTTGGGTGCCTTACCCACACCCTCCCAAACACCTTCCCTTGTAAGGGCAGCTTGGTGGAGACAGAGTACACGTCGTGCAAAAATAGATCAAGGCTGGGCTTGAATCCAGTGCAATGGATGGAGAGGAGGGAGAGCTGTGGGATAAGGGGGCAACTCTGCCATCCCTTCTAGATTTGAAGCTTTCGTGACTGCAAGGATTCATATTCTTAGGTTTTTTCGGTAAAGTCACGTAGGTAAAAAATTAAAATTTATAAAAGTAAAATAAAATAAAATCACGACGTTTCGGAGGCAACACAAGCTTCCGTCTACAGGTGGAACCGTCACAGCCCGACAGCTACGTGACTTTACCGAAAAAACCTAAGAATCTGCCATCCCTCCTCTCCAAATCCCCTCCCCCTACAAGGAAGGGACCATCAGTACCACTGTAAATGCCCATGGCTCACCGGGCCAAACCATGGCTCTTTATAGAGGGAGGGCACGAACACACCACATGTGATGCAATGCTACAAAAGCAATGCATGAGATGCATATGTGGGTTATTAGCTAAGCCTGTCACTAAATTAATATTTGAAGGCAACTCACAGCAGAATCTTTATTCATCCTGTAGAAATACGATGAGATATAAAGCTCTTTTTCACAGATGTCCAGTTGGGAGAGATGCTTTAAAAGCGAAAACTCAATTGTTCAATGTAGCCCATGAGGTCAGGGGTTCTCAATCTTTTGGGTTTGGCAGCCCTCAAATATTTGTTAAGGACAAAATACACAAAAAGATAAACATATCCTTGCCTGAGCAGACTGTTGAGCAGACTGTTGGGGAAAGTGGTCTTTAGCGAGCACCTATGAAGGCCAGCACTGCACACAAGGGGGTGGGGGAATCACGCCTGAGCGCCTTTGTCTCCCAAGGGGCGATTTTTACACATTTCACCAGGTATTCAGTTAAGGCAGAGTCGACCAAGGAGAGGCCCAGGACCAGTTCAGATAATCGGCACTCGTGTTGCCCGTGAGTGGGAACCGCACACTCGGGTCGCTCGGTTCGGAGTGCACCACAGTTCCCTACAATACACGAAGAACACCCATGCACATACACACAATGGACTAACATTCTGTCCATAGTGCATAATGTTCGTCAAGACATTGCCTACACTGGCATCATTCAGGGGAATTCTTCATTTTCTCTTTCAATCTTTAAGCCAAATAAAAGCATTAGACCATACTATATTACAGCACAGTCATACTCATAGACACCCAGCTTGTAGTCTAAACTTTTCATCAAAATTGTTATCGTAAAAATGTAAAAGACACGTACGTGTATTGCAGTCTACCATTTCACACAGCAAACCACAATTGTCAAAAAAATAATTCGCATTAATTTAGCATCTTATTTTCATGAGTGCATATTCATGCAGAACGCTCACAGAGGGTCCTTAAAAGCCACGCTTTACATGTGTGAGATTGGCAGCTCAATCAGAGAGGACCAATAAGAGAATTGGGGTTGGTTTACTACAGACTTTGCCAATACTTACTTCAATCCAGTCAGAAGAGCATGGCCATCACTGGGAGAGGTTGTGGCTACCACTGGGCTGGGTGTGTTATGCTGGGTGGACTGGTCAACGCAGCATGATCGCCTGTAAAGAAGTCGCCCGGCCAATCAGATGCAAAACAAGTATAACCCGTAAAAACAAAGTTTTTCACTATAAATCCTTTATATGCGTGGCGGCTAGAGTCCTCTCGTCCTCTGCCTTGAGATGGCTGCTACCTATGGGTCAGATGATTGCATTGCACCATTAAGCAACTGGATAATTAAATATAATATTTTTGTCCTAAAAAGTGTAAAATTTTTGAGAAATTTTTTTTTTCACGAACATTAATTGTCACGCACAACGAGTCTGTGTGGAAAATGTCAGCTCGATTGGATCACGGGAAGTGGGTTAAAAACGACCGAAAGATTTGCACGGTCCTAAGCAAGCAAGCGAACTTAATATAAAGGATTTAAAAATTAACCCGTAAAAACAAAGTTTTTCACTATAAATCCTTTATATGCGTGGCGGCTAGAGTCCTCTCGTCCTCTGGCTTGAGATGGCTGCCACCTATGGGTCAGATGATTGCCTGCCACCATTAAGAAATTGGTAATTACATATAATATTTTTGTCCTAAAAAGTGTAAAATTTTGGAAAAAAATTTTTTTCACGAACATTCATTGTCACGCACAACGAGTCTGTGTGGAAAATGTCAGCTCGATTGGATCACGGGAAGTGGGTTAAAAAACGACCGAAAGATTTGCACGGTCCTAAGCAAGCAAGCGAACTTAATATAAAGGATTTAAAAATCATTAATATCGTAGGAAATATAAGAAGCAAAGTTAAGCGGACCGTAAGTCTCTTTCATACATCTGTCTCTCCACAATAAATCCGTGAGGCCAATATGTTTTGTAAAAAAAAACAACTCCTGCATTATTAGCTTGGTTTGTGAATCCCCCTGCTGGAAACAAAGAAATGTGGCTCAACGTTACGTGAAGTCTACGAGGTGTGTATATTTGGACGAATGGTGCTCTGCATGGCGTGTACTCAGAGTACAGGCTTAGAACCAGGTGGTAGTCCGTTGATAACAAATGTATGTTGCGAGGATAAATTGATAGTGGTACAATAATGTATGACTTAAAATGATTCATCATCTTGCACCTACTTTGGTGTCTGATCTGTACGGCTCCCATACCACCCCGCGCGGCCGGAGTGGTGCAGTGGTAACCCTCATGCCTCACAGCAACAAGTGCCTGGGTTAGACTTGGGTGCCTTTCTTTGTTGTGTTTGTACGCTCTCCCGCTATTCTGTATGGGTTTCTTTCAGGTTCTCCAGTTTACTCCCATACAACGTAACTGTTATTGGCCATAACATCCCAATGCTGAAAATTTACCTGCAAATTACTCATTTAGGATGACACACTGAGCGACATCGTCACCTACTGTGAGACTTTGCAAGACCCTCCTAAGGCTCAGTGAGGCTTTCCTGGGTAAACAAGCGAAAACAGAATATCAAAGTACCATCAGTCTCTGTACAATGGGAGGTCACCCCTTACTTTATGCTGTTCCTATAGGCTTGACACAATCTCGTTTCAGCTGTAATGTAACGATAATACATATTAGTAATTAAATTGTTCCATAAGTGCAGGCTGTAATCGGTGGACCTGGGAAGTCCACTGTGTAAAGGTCAGGCAGGATTCTGCAATGCAGAATGCGTTTTGTGTTTTCTGACATGACGGTTATCGTTGGCCAAAGTGTACTTAGTCCACTTGGACAACATTGAGACAACATTACAGCCGTAGCAATGACGAATCTCCGGGGTTCACCCTGCTTTCACAGGCTGATGAAGGTTACATGGGAGATGTTTTCCTGGATTCAACCGCATGGTTTTTCCGATATCTGCAGTCCATTTCAGGGGCCATTTGCAACCCTACAGCGGACCACCTGAGCAGGTGCTGACTCGTTCCAGGGCAGTGATCAAATCTATTAACTATCGTAAACCCAACATCCTAACAACTGCATTCTGAGGCATTTAGACTGTGGTGTGCCCACTGGGACACACCGTCTGTGGATCTGTTTCTTTGCACGTACAACCGCTTCCTCCCAATGCAGCTGCTTCTTGCGATTGATGTCTTAAGCATATCCTGAAGTGGATATGACTGCACATAACGCAAAGAAAGGGCATCGATGCTGATTCCCACCCTCTTTGTAGTTGCAGGTGGAGGTGGTTTACTGGTGGATGTGGAGACCTGGTTCTCTGCACGGCCTGGTGGCATCGGGAGGTTATATATACAATGGGTTCTGGCAGAGGACTAAATTCTAGATTTATATATTTTTTTTATCCCGGCCTGCATTCAATATTTGCCATAACAGTATATACTCTTATATTTGTACGAATGCTTTGTGCAGCATCTTCAGATGCATTTGTGTTGAGTCACCATGTCAATGATGAGTAGTACATGTTTAAAATGGATTTTTAAAGATGTGCTCATGGATGGAGCTTCCTGCTGATATACGAAGGAGAAAACCAAATTAACCGGATATCAAGAGGTCACATGGCACCAGCCCGTTATCGTCAAGAGACTTGTTGTTGATTGTGCCGTTGTGAGGTGCTGCCATGGTGCACGTCAGTGATTGGACCTGCACGGTCACAGCAGTGATTTGCCCATGGTTATGCATGTACACATTGGTCAGGAGGCACTGTTGGTACACGCTTGTAATCAAATACAGCTATATTACTCGTAATACGGCCACCACCTGCTCTCATTCACACTGCTGCATAAACAGTGGTGATGTCAAGAGCGTGTGTGTCGCTGGTCAATGTGTCAATGAAACATGGACCCCTCTAAATTGAACATCTGCGCCGATTAAACACATTCAGACTGGCCTCCCTACAATCCATCCTGGGTATAACCAGGCTGAATTGTGTGAGGAGTTCATAAATCCTTACAAGATCTGGACACATTCCCATCAGTGAGCTCCTCCGGAAGGCAAGGCTGGCTGCGTTGGTGGTGGCATGCCCAGCCACCGCATGCCCAAACAGTTTATGTTTGCCTGGATAAAGGGGGCTAAACGGCCACGACACGGGCTGGAAAAGAGATGGACTGATGTGGTACAGGAGGATATGGAGCTGAGTGGACTTTCTGAAGACTTGTACCAGCTGTGTCAAGATCGGCCTCTATGAAGGGGGCTCGTGAAGGGCAGTTGGAGGCAGTTGCCCTCCAACAACAGGAGCGATGCTCACAACAACGAGCGGAGCACCGGGGGGATAAAATACAGTAAGTTGGCACATAAGGGGGCACAGCTAATGCTTTTGCCAGTCATAACAGTCAGTTAACCCATGGTACCTGGGTCTCTCCGATGACCTCCTGTCAGCGAGTATTTGACACTTCACGTGACCCCAAAGTGCACCTGGCCTGGCACAGGCGCTGTGGTGACGTCACCGCCACTTAGCGGTGAAGGGCGGCTGTTGTTGTGTCTCCCCAAGTGAACGTAAGTCAGGGTGCTGACGCACGGGGCACATCGATTGTGGACACATTGATCAAGGTCTGTCTCTTTCAACCAGTGTATTCAATTGCAGTTTTCTGTTAATGACTTTTACACCATTAGCCTATCGTTCTTGGGGAAATGTCAGCATTTAAAGCATGCTATCATGCAGCATGGAATCGAAGGACACTAGTTTATCATCTGAGAACCAATATTGTTGAACAGCGTGTAGCTTTAAAATATGAAAATTATACTCAGGCCGAGTGTCAAACGTTTGTGTCACCTCTTGTGTACATGTGCATGTTGGAATGCACACTCAAACACGTCAACACAAATGGTTACACCCGGTCATCGGTGATTGCCGGTGGTAAGAGGCATTGCTAAAGTCCCAGTGCTCTTCCACATTCATCTACATATGGAAAACTTAAAAATAACATTTTAGAGGTGGCATGACGGCTCAGGGGTTAGAGCACTGAACTGACAATACTGACATCCTGGTTATATATCCGGGCAGCCACCCCTAGTTCAGTGTAGCGTGACAAGTCGACATTCTCAGTCCAGTCACCGATGAATGCGCCAAAAAAACACCTCTCAAATGAGTTTTTTTCCCACTTAGTTGACGGATTCCAACTCTGAGATGTTAAATATACGTTTAATTGACATTCAAAGAACAAGCCCCGCAGGAAATTATTGTGCGGCTAACGAGGCCTCGTGAAGTCCCTTGAGTCGTTGTTGTTCTGTAGCATCTTCTTCCGTGGCCGCTCTCTGCTAGCCGCGACATTGCAAATGAAAATTAAATTGATTTCCTGTGACATGACGCCGTTAGCACCATTTGGAGAAAAAAACGAATACAGTTTGATAAATCAATAATGAAATGTTGTATACTTAAAACGTAGGTTGTGGTAGCCAAGACATTGATTCAAATTTATTTTTGGGTTAAGCAATGGATTAGTTTCATATATATATACCATCTACCACCCAACACGATTGTTTTGTTGGCTACTCACGGTGCAAAGGTTTAAGAAATTCTGAACAATAAAGCTCACTGGTGGCTTAAGAAAGTTCATGACTGAATTTATACACCAATTTACGACATTTCACTTCAACTGCTTTGAGCTTCTTCAGTAAGTGCACCCATAGATATAGTAGGAGGCACTTTAAATTTCCATGGTCTAAATTATGATGTCATTTAGACCATTATGATGTAATTTAGACTAATCCAGAGAATGAGACAAAATTAACTAAATGAGCCAACGAAAGGAACAATAAAAACAAATAATATATATTTTTTAATTGTGACCAAAATTGTTACACTTCATCGAATAACATGGTAAATCACTATTCTTTTACATGCCTATTTTACTTTGCTGTGTGATTAGCACATATCCACGGTGCAATCTAGATAGTGGTCCTATCTTTGCCTTGTTATAATATATTCAAGGTCTTGGCACAGGTGAAGCTTCACCCTCAAGTGGAAGGAACCAATTGCTGCTGGTTAATATCAGAGAGGGGCAATGATGACACCCCCCCCCCCCCCCCCCACTGCTCCTGCTATCTTTTTTTTATTTTACAGGGGACACCAATTATTATCAGTGCCCTCATTGCCCCCAGGCTGAACACGGAGTTCTTTGGGGAAAAGACTGATTTGCAGCCAACTGATCAAGTATCCTGCATAAATCAAGTCACAGTGTGCAGCCACGCTCGTGTGCATACAGAACGCTTGGAGGTGCTGTTGCGTGCGCGTCCAAGCGCCACGTGAGGTTGGGAACATTTTCACGAAAGCAAGTTGCATTATCGACGCGCAATGTGCCAACGTATGCAGTCTGTACCCATTGGCCCACGGATGGGTATGAGCCATGCTTACTTTGCCCCCCCCCCAGATACACAAGCACATGGAGCAGCTGGAGGAGAGGGTGAGGATGGAACGAGTTGTCCATGGCGCCCCCCCACTGCTGAGCTGCTACAAAAATATCCTCAATTTCACCATTTCGGTAAGAGGCTGCTTCCAGCCCACTTAGTATGTCGCATTGCAAGAGATGACGTTGACATTCAAATGAGTTTTTTAACCATTACATGTGCTTCCAATATTAATACAGCTATTATAACCCCAATGCTGGAATTATAACTAATGCTGACATTCATCATCATTAGCCTTTGTCTATCCGCTGCTTGATGAAAGCCTCCCTAATGCAGTCACCATCCGTCATAGTCCAGTGCTGTTACCATCCATCTCACTCCTGCACATATCTCATTACTCCATCTCCACAGTCGTCGTCCTCTTAGCTCCATTCTCTCTTTTGGCTGGAATTCCATCGCGAGTCTCTCCCATCTTGAGCAAATAATATGATGATGCTGCATTAGCAATGGTGCACAAGCACAATAAAAAAAACTCTACACATTCGTCAAAAACTGCCTTAAAAGAAAAAATATATAGAGAATCTACGACATTTGAGGAATTGGCCCTTCTTCGTTGCAAACACACAATTTGCTAAAGTCTCTCCCATCTGCCGTCCTTCTGTCGAGCAATGTCTCTTGCTTTAGGTCATTTACTCTTCTTAATTGTCAATATGTTAATATGTTGTCTATGATGATTTGAAGCTTTCGTGACTGCAGGAATCCATACTCTTTGGTTCTTTCGGTAAAGTCACGCTTGTGTTGCGCCCGAAACGTCGTGATCTATTTTATTTTATACCTACGTGACCTTACCGAAAGAACCAAAGAGTATGTTGTCTATGATTTGTGTTTTCTCCCTGATCCATGCGTTATTTTTTTCTGTCTCTCAGTATCGTTCCAAGCATGCATGTCTCCATGCTGGCATTCATTGCCATCATTATTATGTTATTTACACCATCAATTTTAAAGTGGTAACTCATAATGGAAACTGAGACAACAGATGACATATGAACACAAATCTTCACTACCTCCTATTCTCTGCTATACCAGGATTGAACATCAGTGAAATAAGCCCATGCTTATTATTGCAGTTACCTTAAGAAAGCTCAGTTCCCGAAGGCTAGCACCCAAGATGTGGACTCGAGTCATGTGACTTGGACTCGAGTCAGACTCGAGTCATGAATTTGATGACTTCAGACTCGACTTGGACTTGCATAACAATGACTTTGTCCCACCTCTGAGATGTGGACTCGAGTCATGTGACTTGGACTCGAGTCAGACTCGAGTCATGAATTTGATGACTTCAGACTCGACTTGGACTTGCATAACAATGACTTTGTCCCACCTCTGGCTAGCACCCATGCTCGAGTCTCTTAAGGGCATCCGCAGGTGATGAATCTTATTGAATAACATCCTTCTCTCATAACCCTTGCATGCTGTGACTGTGTATGATGAAGTACGCTAGCAGGACACATCTGTTTGTGATGTGAAGCCTGGCAGGCTGTATATGGGTATGGCCACGTTCTTTTTTCAGGAGACGTTGTCCGAATTCAGCAGCTGCTATCAGGCAGTGTCACCAATTCCTTAAAGATAAAAGTCACCAAACGAACCATAAAAAAGTCACTAGATGTACTTAAGTAGAACTTATAAAGTAATTTTGAACGATATTACTCGACCATGTATTCCATATTACACGTAGTAAAGTAATTCGTAAACCCTTAATACGCACCAATAATAATCAATAATCCTCAAATCTGCAATAAATGCGATCATCCCAGAAGGTGTTTAACTTTGTCGCAAGTCACTTTGACGAAAATGCATTGCTCGGCATCGCAAAAACCTGGCTAAAGTTGGCAACACCCCTCTCAGGAAGGCTTCCAGTTGCCTCGACTCGTTAAAGTATTCCTGTGCCCGCTGTCTTCCAGCCGTGTCATCTCGTTGCATTTTCAGTGTCAGTGGTTGAGTTCCCCCTCCGGCACGCTTGCAGACCCACATCATTAAGGAATGGCTGTGTCCTGCACGCTTCAGGCCACCCGATGTTCAGCCTCATTAAGGAGCCAGTTTTCTATTCCCCGCGCGAAGGCACCTGCGGATATCTCTGGTGAAGTGTTTTAAGCAGAGAGTGGGGTTTGGCAAATTTGGCCATATAGATAACGTATGTGTGAAAGCTGACTGATTTTATGAATCAATAATGCTGTTCTCAAAATAAAATGTACATTTGTATTTTACTCGTGATAAAGTTATACAATTGTTTAATGTTCATAAAAAATTTAACTTTTGAATATTGAATGATATATAGTGTTTGCGCAGTGTAACGTAGTCTTATAATTTTAATCAATCGTGAACATATATAACAAGACAAAACAAAACATTGTCTTTATTTATTATGCTTGTTGATCCAGGAAAGTGTCAATAAGTTCCATGACTTTTTTCAGGGTGGTTCTACCAAATTTTCGCAGTAGGAGACAATGATTGCAATGAATCATAATTTTTTTGTAATTTGCGGGTACAATAATTAGGCGTATACTGCATCTAAACTGGACCCAAAGAGTGACCAACGTAGAAGTAAGAAAAAAATTGCACAGAGAAGAAGACCTTATGCAGGCAGTGACGAGAAGTAAATTGGCACTGTTTCTACACATAGAGAATGGACAACAACAGGAACATTTCAAGTGTGTTGTCTGGACAAATGGAGGGAACCAGAAGAGAGGAAGACCTCACGGAGAATGGCTCGACGACGACATCAGAAGAGATTGGTGGCAGAAAATTGTGCACTACTTGAGCATATTGGCATAAGAGATAGGAAAGTGGAAACAAATGACGAAATGTGCATTGGATACCGACGGGCTATCTGCCCATGGATCGTGATGATGATGAATAATGACACTGTAAAGTACCGTATTATGTGTGCATGCCAAACAATAAATTAAGTTTCAAATTATCTGAGTAAACGATGGTCTGGCATTTGTTAATTGATGTATTTGTTCATTCTTTGCCAATACGGAAAGACAAGGAGTATAAGAGGCTGGGTAGGCTGTCAGCAACGCGCCACAGTTGTGCACAACTCAAAGAGAACACTTCAGTGAAGCGGTCCAGGCTGAATAAACCAAGCTTAGGTCGTGGTGCATTATTTAATTCTCAAAGCTACAGAACGAAACAAGAAGTAACAATGTTGTAATCTTATTTATTTTTATATGCAGATGCATTTTAAGCCTATTTTGCTCATGTTTTAATTTGTATAATTTCACACCAATGTTATCCTGATCATGCTATTGTGTCATGTCATAAGAGGTATTAATTTGCATCTCTGAACAGAGCAGTGTAATTATTTGGGTTAGAGAACGTCCCACAGAAGAGGATATCACATAACTACCTCAGATTATTTAAGTGACCTATGGTCCACAAAGTATATCAGCATTTTCCTACCTGCTAGAATTTAGCTTTATTAAGTTCAGAGCCAAATTTAGTGTGAGAGTGTGTTTTAGTGCAATTAATGGTGACGAGGCTGAGATCATCATCTCAGCTACACTTGAGAACCTGGTTGAAAGCACGGGCAACTGTCTGGATTTAAACCTAGGATCTCAACGGTGCCAGATGAGTCCTGTGATTTTTGAACCACCTGGCCACCTCTAAACATTAATTCTATAACGTTACATACAAAATGTGTAGGGAATATGCAAGGTGATCTGTTTATAGATACTGTTGTGCCACGGCCTGGCGGGGGATCGCCTGGCGCAACGGGTTTTCTTTCGAAGGGTCCCTAGGAGGAGAGTCCCACGGTTTCCCGGTGCCAGGAGATTGGCTGACCCACGCAGGACAGATCACATTGCGGTGCCCGAGTTGGCTTAAAATTATATGGGCGGAAAAAATTAAAGGTTCACTGGTCCAGCCTCAATGAGTTATACACGACATCGGGAGGGACTGAGGGTGGAATATTAAGCAAGAAGAGCAGACCATGAGGTCAGGAGAATTGCAGCGCCACTACCCCCTCCCAACCCCCACTCGCAAGTGTGTGTTTGCCAGCCGGGCACCCTTCCAGACAATGAGCAACGAGGGACAATAGATGATCGCCGCCGCCACCGAGGCACTCCACGGAGGACACGGTAACAGGGGGCGGTAACCACAGGTAGGCTCACGATTGGCCGCGCGGTACAATGCCACCCTGGGCCTTTGAAGTTAAGGGAATAAAAATTTTAGCCCATTGTCGGTTTCTGGTCTTCAAACTCTGGGCCGCCAAGACCCACTCCCTGCCGTCCTGCTTCCTCGAGCCGCTCGCAGCATCTGTGTGATGCCAGCGAGTGCTGCTACGAGGCAGTGCTAGTTTAAGTTTTCTCTCGTCCTTCTCCCTCCGACTCTCACAGCGTCCATGCGACGCCGTGAGTACAGATTCGAGGTAGGTGGTATGACATTTGAGTGACTGGGCACTTAGGCAGCAGTAAGCTAGGCTCTTCTCGCAAAATATTTCCCCCGGTAGTGTTTATTTGCGCCGCGAATGAAAGTTAGCACAGAGCATCGGTGTGGTGTCTGTGATTTGTGTGTGGAGCGACTGCGCGGGACAACGCGCTGTGAGAGTGGACGCGGAGCCGCAGCACGGGCGCGCGGTGAGGTCATCGCTCGGTGAGGTCATCGCTCGGTGAGGTCATCGCTCGCAGGTGCGGGCGCTCGCGTGCCGCTGTCCGCTGCGTTAGCGTTAGCTGTGGTGTCCGCGGGTGTGTGGGTTAACTCCACGTGGCTGTGAGCCAGCAGCACGATCACTCGGTTGGCGGGGGCCCGGCTCGAACCGACCGACGCGGTGGAGGAGGGACCCGAAGGGGTGGACGTCGTGCCCCACCTGTCTAGCGAGGACGGTGGGGTGGACGTCGGCCCCCACAATAACGCACTAAAATGTTACGTGAAATTATAGAGACATTTTTTATTTCAAAGCCTCTACATGTCCGGCACCAATTTCAATGCACGTTGGATATTTTAACACTCCTCTGTTGAGAATAATTAAATATGTTATTTATTTCAGCAGGAAGGGCCCAATGAGGTTTATGGACATCCTGCAATGGTAGACGTTATACAGTTCAGATATTCGCTACAATCATGGTTACATAGGTCGCAATACCCACAGCAAGTATCGGTACGAGCTTCACATGTAATAGGAATAGGGAACTGTATGAAAATTAAAAAAGGTTTTACCCTTTCTGGCAATAAAACAGGTGTTAAGATGTTCAAACACCAAATATACACCTTTGTAAGGAATTAAGTCTGCATTAACCACACGTACTTGTGATGAACACGCAACAAAAACATGCTGTGATTATAATATATGCATTGTCTTTGAAACTAATTGGCCTACACCAGAGAAAGCCTTCTTTGTGGCCTAATCTCACCAGTGTCGGACCAGAAAATGCCAAAAGGTGAAAAAAGGTCCCACGATATAAATATAACTGGTCGAAAACGTAAAATAAAAAAAGCATTTTTAAAATGTGAGTTAGTGGAAATAGGTGAGTCTCCAGAGAGATACAATAAATGTAGTCCATCAGCCTATTGGCTTTCCAGACAAATATTACCAAGCAGCATTTGTTTAATCAAGATTTCATCCTTATTCCATAAGTTCATTATTCCATATGTTCACATAGATTACTTTTGCCAATACTATGATAATCCAGCAGCATTATTTTAACACGCCTGACTGGTGATGAGACCCAGAAATATCGAAACTCGAAACCAGTCCATAGTTTTCTTGCGAAATCAAATGCTGCTTGATAATATTTGGTGTGAAAAGGCAATAGGGCTGATGAACTAAAATGTAGTTTTTTTGTTTCTTTATGTATGTGAAAAGATACATACTGTAATGTACATTGAAAGCTCTTTCACTCTTGCTTGCCAAAGATCAGCCGAGTGAATGCTGATTGAATAAGGGGCTGTCCATATATGACGTCACGCACCTAGAGAGGGGGGTTTGAGAAATGTGACGTCACATCAAAATGCGCAACTTTAACTAAATATAGACAACACGTTCTACTGAATTAAATGGACCTTTTTATAAATAAATGTTTTCTCCTACAACATCAGAGTACAGCGCCACATTAAATACGCACTACAATGATAATAGTTTAAAGCGATTTGAAGCATGTTTTATTTTTTTGGGGAGGGCAGAGCTTTGTGACGTCATATTTGAGGGGGGGTCTGACTTTTTGTGACGCCTTGTGACGTAAGGGGGGGGGGTCAAAATCGTCCAAAATCGCGTGACGTCACATTTCTCAAACCCACCCCCCACTCGTCACATATCGTCACAAATGTCTGACCCACCCCACCTAGGTGCGTGACGTAATTTATGGATGGCCCCCAAACATTTGTTTGTATCTATTTGTTTGTGTTTCTCCCTTGTGATGGGACTTTGTAGGATGAACGTTGAGATCTATAAGGGGTACGGGGTCACCAATAAGATCCTGAATTGATCTGTATTAAGATTGATTAGGCGGTTGACAGATATACGAAGCCAGCTATGGCTGCAGGGTTTTGGTAGTACATGTTGTTTATGTCGTTTATTGTGAAAATTCCGTCACAGTTCCTATGATCACTGTTTCATTGCTTTCATGGCTTTATTTTGGTGATTTCTAAAAGTTTTTTGGTTTGGCCATGTTTGTTTGTTGTAGTACGGAGTAAGACTGATGGCCTTAATCTAAGTTGTCTTGTGGTTGTTGTTGTTTGACTTGCATCCCACTGGGATTTTTGCACACAGCGTTGGTGTACGGTGCTTTATCTAAAATATTTTGCCGTCTTTTCTTGGATTTTATGTTTGCATTTAGTCATATATTCACTTTAAGATGTTTTCGTGTTCATGTTTTTGTTTTTGCTTGTTGCGGTTGCACCCGATTCAAGAGCCGAATGGCTCACAGGGCTATACCTAATCAATGAACTTGAATCTTCTTGGTTCTTTCGGTAAAGTCACGTAGAAGGGAAATAATTAAATAATAAAAATAAAACATAATAAAATACAATTTTCACGACGTTTTGGCCACAACGCAAGCAGCCGTCCTCAGGTGAAACGTGGTGAGAATTGTATTTTATTATGTTTCATTTTTATTATTTTATTATTTCCAAGAAGATGAATCCCTGCAGTCACGAAAGCTTTAAATCGAAATTGAACTTGAATGTTCAACACGAGAGAAACAAAAACACGCGCTGCCAATCACCATGCTAAAAAGGGGCGTGTCACAACTGCCACCGAGCTGTGATTGGCCCGATAGCGGAGCGAGGCCCCGCCTACTCATGAATATGCAAATTTCAGCGTGCGCACTGTCCACGTGCGCTCAGCTCCGGGTCTATATTCTGCTCACACGCGCAAAAAAAGGTATCGCAAGTTTAAAAAAATATAAAAATAAGCGTCGCTTAAATTGTCGCTTCTTGTGATTCGTGACGTGCGAGTGATAGGAGATTTATTTGCGATACGGGAGCGCAATTGACGCGTGTCGCAGTTTGCGCTTGAGCACGTACACAATTGCGTGACTCGTCACTGTACGTACAGTGCGACGCTAATATCATTTAAATGTAACCGTGTCGTACAATAACACGGCGCTTATAATGCTTAACTGCGTTGTCAACAATAATGCTAATCGTGGTAGTTCTGTATTGTGGCTGTGAACGGCTTCAGTGTCGTGTTTGTGTTGTGTGTGTGTAGGGGGGGCTATTTGTGGTCGCTGTTGTATTTTCGATGTTGCATTTGGAATTGCAAAACAATTTTTCATGAGGAAATGTAATGTTTAGTTTATAACGTTCTAATATATTCATCTAAGAACTTTAATTGACGAATTGCCTCAAATTTTATCTTGCATAGAGACTTGCAGTCAAACGATTATAAATGTAATGTCTA